CTTGAAAATATCTAGTGATGGAGCATCCACAACTTCCCTGGGCAACCTCTTCCAGTGTCTCATCACCCTCACAGCAAAAGAACTTTTTCCTTAGATCTAATCGAAATCTCCCCTCTTCCAGTCTGAATCCATTACCCCTTGTCCTATCACTATAAGCCACTGCAAAAAGTCCTTCCCCAGCTTTTTTCTAGGCCACCTGCAGATACTGGAAGGTTGCTGTAAGGTCTCCCCAGAGCCTTCCCTTCTCCAGGCAGAAAACCCCCAACTATCCCAGCCTGTCATCATAGGAGAGGTGTTCCAGCCCTCAAGGACCAATGCACACCAGTACTCATCGTTGGAGCTGCAGATCTGGCTGCAGACTTCAGTCATACCTTGAGTCTTTAGCTTTTCTTTCCTTTTTGCACAGAAGTTATGCAATTGTCAAACCAATGCAGGTAGGCTTCAATCTCTCTGGCCACCCTGCTCCCCATGGGTCAGCAGGCCCAGAAACTGGATCTGTTCCCTCAGGAAATTTCTCCTGGAGTACTGGTTCCAACCTGATTGGTTCTGCTCTGCCTCATGTTCTTTTTCATCATATACCAGCAAATTCAGTTTTCCAAAGTATTTTGTGATGAGCACGAGAGAGCTATATTCAAATCCGAAGGCAACGTGCAGATCTGAATCAGTGAAAAACAATATACAGGAAAGTTGGCTTAGAAATTCCAACCCTTTTCAACTGTCAAAAAGCAGATTAGCAAAGCTGGACAGAAATGCAAACCTCTCCCCATCTCACCTGCCCAACCTGGTCTTACTGTGATACAAGGATCTACCACTATTTTAGACCAGATTAAAAGTAGTCAAACCTTCAAACATACGTTAAATGACAATTATTTTAAATTTGGAATTTAAAGATAGTAAACATTGTAATCTACTAATGAGATTCTACCAAGGTTTAAATACTCCATTGCTGATTTTTGTGGTTTTTTTCGATGCAAATGTTGATTTATTGAGCTGTTTGCAACCTGAGCAGGCAACCAGTGTATCTGTCACAGCTATCACCGAATGAGCCCTAACGCAGCATCATTCCTG